ATTAAAAAACCAACCCCCATAACGATGTTTTAATTTTTTTTCCCTTTTCCAATTTGTTTATTTATTTATATAAAGAAAATCCCGCATGCTCCGATTTTCGAATCTCGGCTGTGGGTTGGCGACCTTTACCAGCCTCGTCAATATACACTCCACGCCGAATCTGGGTATGGCCTCGTGCGAGTTGTTACAGTATATGTATGTTATACGATTAAGTTTATTATAAAATTAAATGTTTAACTCAACAAAAACACTCGACAATTTTTTGCTGGGGGAGTGCGCCATAGAGCTTTTGATCACACAACACAGATGGCGAAAAAACAGCACTTATATATATTGACTTAAACACTACACATCCTGCATTTTTCAATCAATATACTATTTTATATAAAATATATTTTATAAATACTCGATTTAATTTAAAATTTAAAATTTTCAGAAATGTTCGTTGATATCTTTAATATAATTGAATATGGTACGTAATGCCACTAAAACTTTAAAGGATTATGTAAATTTTGTAAACTAATAATTAAAAAATGCACACATTTATTATACAATTAAGTTTATGATAAAACTAAATGTTTGACTAACCCAAAACAGTAAACAATTTTTTGCTGGGGGGTTGCACCATAGAGCTTTTGATTACACACCACAGATGGGTAAAAAACAGTAATAATATATATGGAATGAAAAAGCCCCAAATCCCGCAATTTTCAATCATTATACTATTTTATATGCATATAAGATATGTTATAAATACTCAATTTCATCTAAAATTTAACATTTTCAGCTCTGAAGGATACTGAATCAAACAAGATGACATATGGTATGCCGTGTCATTAATATTTTAAAGGATTATATAAATTTTTTAAACTAATAATCAAAAAAAGAACACGTTTGTTATACGATTAAGTTTATTGTAAAACAAAATGTTTCACTAATCAGAAATAGTCAACAATTTTTTAAGGGTGAGTAAGCCATAGAGATGTAGATCTCACAACACAGTTTAATATAAATTGACTAAAACACCCCAAATCCCGCAATTCTCAATCAGTATATTATTTTGTATATAAGATATTTTAGAAATACTCAATTTCATTTAAAATTTAACATTTTCAGCCAAGTACGATCAAACCTTAATGGAAATTAAGAATGGTACGTCGTGTCACTAAAACTTAAATGATTATTTAAATTTTGTAAGCTATTAATCAAAAAATGCACACGTTTATTATACGATTAAGTTTATTATAAAACTCAATGTTTGACAAATCAAAAATAGTCAACAATTTTTTACTAGGGGAGTGCGCCATAGAACTTTTGATCACTCAACACTGATGCCTAAAAAACAGTACTAATATATATTGACATAAACACTCCACATCCCGCAAATTTTCAATTAAATTAAATACATATAAGAAATTTTACAAATACTCAATTTCATTTAAATTTTACCATTTTCAGCCCTGAAGGATGCTGACTTAAACAATAATAATGGTACGTCATGTCTCTGAAGATTATGTACATTGTGTAAACTAATGATAAAAAAAAGCGCTCTTATATTAATATTATAATGAGTTCTATTGAGAATACAGATTTACACTCGGTACACAGTACTTTACCTATTTCATCAGCATCTCTTAAATTAGGAAACTGCGTTTTCAATTTTAGATTAAAACTACATCGTCTTTTGGGCATCTTAGGTATTATTTTTAAAAATTAGAAAATATATCGATAGGGACGCACTACGCGTCAATTTCAAAATATAAAATTAGTTTACGGAAAGGAATTCACTGATCGAATGTCAACAGCAAACAGTGTCAACTAACAACTATTAGCGATAAACGCGTAGCGTAATGCCTAAAAAAGACGGAAGAACATGGACGATGTAAAAACGATAACGAACATAATAGAATTAGCAGTGGCGGCGCTAGGCGTGGGCGGTGTGAGGCCGTGTCAAAGGGCCTCGCGTTCCATAGGGCTTTATAATTAACCATAGAGAAATATGACAGAAGTTAAAAAATTTTTTAAAAGGGCCTCTTTAAGTCTACTTCGCCCACATGTAACTTTTACCTCGCCACGCCACTGAGAATTAGAATAGAATAATAATAATAATAATAATCTGTAAGAGGAGAAACCATGGAAAACAAAAAAATACTAAATGTTATCTTAGTTATGACAATAATTTTTTTTTCTTGCGTCGCGGGACAGAGTCACCGCTACCACGTATATCGTACTACAAAGTACTAACGACTGACCAGTGTTGCCAGATGAAAATGTCATAAATCTCGAAATTTACACTCAATAATCCCCAGATATCCCCACTATAAAATTTCAGTCGGACTGACAATGTGACAAAAATTAATACGCGGGTCGTCCGGCCGATCGGTGTACAGACACACACACACACAATACAAAACAATATATTACATTAATAATAATAATACATGACCGGTCCGGATACGGGCGACAAACGATCATATTATTCTATCGGAGGCTAATCATCAGAAAAACCCGCGATTAGATTACTGATAAATATAAGTATAACATAAGTAGGTATAATATAAAATGTTACAAATCGAATCAATATAATTATAATATTCATAAGACTACGGCTTGTCGATACCCGTAATACGGGTATTCGTAATAATTGAAAAACAAAAATAGCGGACGACCGTCGGCGTACACATACTTTTATATTTATGGAATAGTAATAATAATGGTGTAGCACTGTAGCGTGTACGTGGTTTGGTCGGTCGGTGCGATAAGATGACGACGACCGAAACAGTCGCGCAGCTGAATATGGTGTCAGTTATTTATAAATTTGGTTTCTAATTTTAAACATATATACGAGTAAAACTGTTTTATATTAATTGTTTCATACATCGATATTTTTTTCACAAATATAATATAATAATATTAAAATAACGGGATTAAAACAGGACCATCTTCTAAAAACGGGATAAAAAGCGTCCCGTTCGAAGTTTGTCGGGACAACGGGACATGATGACCAAAAACGGGACAATCCCGTTTTAAACGGGACGTCTGGTCACCCTAATATAGACTGAAATATCCCACATCCCACAATTTTCAATCAATACACTATTTTATACATAAGATATTTTATAAATACTCAATTTCATTAAAAATTTAACATTTTCAGCACTGAATATTAAAAATTTAACATTTTCAGCACTGAACGAAGATAAGAATGAAAAAAGTACATAGTAACACTAAAACTTTATGGGATTATGTTTGTTTGGTAAACTAATTATCAAAAAAAGTACACTTTTGTTATTCGATTATGTTTAGCATAAAACTAAATGTTTGACAAACCATAAACAGTCAACATTTTTTTATTGGGGGAGTGTGTCATAGAGCTGTTGATCACACAACACAGATGGTGAAAAAACAGTACTTATATATGTAGAAGTTAATACGGTATTCGTAACTTTTAATGGGCTGCGTGCGATTAACAAACATTAACAAATGTTTTATATGAATACAAAAAATCTTTTATTATTTTAAAACAACTTAAATATACTTTACAGTCAACGCACATATTGGTTCATACATATCACTACATCAGTACATCACACACACACTAGGACTGATGATAATAATAATAATAATGATAGTAACAACGATAGCAATCATAATAATAATAATAATCCCACATATATATTGACTTAAACACTCCACATCCCGCAATTTTCAATCAATATGCTATTTTATATCTAAAATATTTTATAAATACTCAATTTCATTTAAAATTTAACAATTTCAGCTCTGTACCATAATACCCTACAGTTGCTTGAAAATGGTACGTCGTGTCACTAAAACTTTAAAGGATTATCTGAATTTTGTAAACTAATAATCAAAAAATGCTAACGTTTATTATACGATTAAGTTAATTATAAAACTAAATGTTTGACTAACCCAAAACAGTCAACAATTTTTTGTTGGGCGGGGGG